GTTATGTATGGTCATATACGTTTGTATGTTCAAGAAATGTCCTCCTAGCCCATTTCAGGTCCCTGCTGCTCTCTCCCCTGCTTTGCTCAGGGAGTTATGGGGAGGTGGGATGAGACCTCCTGGGGAGCTCTGGTCCAAGCCCGCTAAAAACAGGACCAATCCCAATGCATCTAATTGGATGGTGATGTTCTTCTTTTTCTCCCATCCTCACCACAGCTCCTCAAAGTCCTTCCTGAGCTCACTCAACTCACTGAAGCAATGGAAACCCAATAGTTGGGTCTTCTCGTGGTTGGATGAGAGGACAAATGGTGCATGTGGGAGTGCGAGGATCCTTCATCAGGTTCATCCTCACCATACCAGGTGTCAGACTCCCAAAAGAATGGAAACCAGGAGCCTGAATTCTGCCCTCATTGTACAAAAGCGGTGAATCCTCTCCAACCTAAACCTACTTTCTCTCATGGGATTTATATGCTAGACCTGGAATTGCCACAAAATGGGCATCACACTTAGTGTGATGGCAACCCCTCCCAGCAATCATCTCCCCCTGCCCCCAAGTTAATTAGAAAGACCCTGAGCATCATCACCCGATGTCCTTCGCTATCAACTCAGCCCCATCCAAATCACCAGCTTAAAATCCAGCCTTGGAGGTAATTCCCTCTCACCAGGCTACGGTGATTCCTCTGGGGGGGAATCCACTGTAAAATTGTCCCCAGAGGGGACAAGGTGCCTGTCCCCTTGCCATTCCCTTCCCTCCACCTTGGTTTGGTGAAAAAGCCCTTCGTGAGAAACCACAACAACCTGGATGGTTAAGGGAAGTCTGAGCAATAGGGTCATTTTAAAAAATCAGCTCTCAACCACGAGTGCAGTGGGGAGTGCTTCTCCCCTGGCTCCCCCAAGGCAGCTCTGCCACTTTTTAGCTGTTCCATAGATTTCTGGCTTCTGATGCCTGCCCGGGCATGCACAGAGCAGAGGTCTCAGGCAGGACATTGAGCGCGCTGTTTCAGAGCCAAAGCGAAAACAAAAGGAGCCGTTTCGCTCTGCTATGCAGCCCTTCCCAGGGAGTTGTTAGGGGGAATTACCGAGATATGATCTCAGTGGTGCTGCGGATTTGATTATCGAATTGCCAGTGTGGGGTGGTGAAGGATGCTCGGGGCAGTGAAGGATGCTTGGGGTCACGCAGGATGCTCAGAATCGTATAGGATGCTCGAGGTGATGAAGGATTCTTGTGGTTGTGCAGGATGCTTGGGGCTGTGATGGATTCTTAGGGCAGCGCAGGATGCTTGGGTGGTATGGGATGCTTGGGGCAGTGAAGGATGCTCAGGGTGGTACAGGATGATTGAAGCAGTGAAGGATGCTCAGGGTGGTACAGGATGATTGGGGCAGTGAAGGATGCTCAGGGTGGTACAGGATGCTCGAGGTGATGAAGTATGCTCTGGGCAGTGTAGGATGCTTGGGATGATGAAAGCTTCTTGGGGTCATGCAGGATGCTCGGGGTGCTGCAAAATGCTCAGTGGCTTCCAGCAGGGTTATCCACGGGGGCAGCTGGATGGGAAAAAGGAGGCGAAGCTGCTTGGGAAAGGCTGGATGTGGCTGTGCCCCTGAGGTGGGAGCACTGGGACACACCTTCTTTGGGATGGACCCAATGGAGCACATATCCACTCCATTTTGGGGTAAGGGGAGAGATCCCTTTCATTTCCAAATGAAAAGTTTTAATTTTACCCCTCTGTCCATTGAGCTGGGAATTGATTCTCCCCATCCTCCTGCCTGTGATCAGTGCTGGTTGTCCTCATTAAGCCACACTGGAGCAACAAATCTGCCGAGCCCCTGTGCCCCCCCCCCCCCCCCCCGAGCTGTTCTGAGGTAGGGGGAAGCCCATTTCCATCCTTGGGCTGCATCAGTGACAAAGGGCAACATTTTAAACCCATTATTCCCTAAAAAGAAATTATGGGGTGAATGGTGGTGGGTGCCCCCCAGTGCTCAGTGAATGCTCCAGCTTAGCACCCCACAGAGCCTCCTTACCCCATAACCACCCCCCCAAATTCTGCTCCCTGGGATGCTTGAGGGGACTGCACTGGGTCTGACAGAAAGGCATCTGGGGGTGACACAGCCACCCCATATTCACGCACCGTCCCCAAAACACGATGCCGGAGGACACCCCGCTAATGGGAACCGGTTCACGACACAGAGGGGCACGGAGGGGGGGGACACACATCCCCTGTCCCCAGCTGTCAGTGCAGCTTCAGCCCCCGGGGGTGGGCTCAGCCCACGTGCTGGGGGCCGGGCGGGAGGTGTGGGGATGGGTATGCACACCGTCTATATATACCACCAAGGCACCGGCGCCGGAGGAGGCACAGAGCAGAGGAGCCGGCAGCTGACAGCACACTGCAGGTAGGAGATGGGCTTCGGTTTGCAACGGATTGGGGGGAAAATTGGCTTTCTTTCTTCTTTTCTTTTCTTTCTTTCTTTTTTTCTTTCTTTCTTTTTTTTTTTTTTTTTTTTTTTTTTTTTTTTTTTTTTTTTTTTTTTGCTGGGTTTTTTTAGCCCGAGCATCATCGGCGAGGCTTCGATTCATCCCGTATTCCCATTCCTCAGTAGGGGTTAAAGGGAAATATCTCCCCACAAAGCAAAATGCACGATGCTTATCTGGGCGAGCACCTGCCAAAAAGTTTCACCTTCCCCCAGATATCCCTTTTTGGACCCAAACTGATCGAGGAACGCAACAGGAGCCCGACGCACGGTGGGGCAGCGGGGTGGCAAGTGAGATGCAAAGGGTTTAGGGTTTGATCTGACACAAAGCACCCGGCTCTGTTCCTCCACCCCTGTGCCGATGGCCTGAAGGGAGAAACCACAGGGTTAGCAAACCCCAAATTATCCCTTTTTGGTGTTTTCTCTTGTTTTGGGGGGGTGATATCCAGGACAAAAGGGGTAGGGAACTTCACAACTTCAACACCGTGGGATGCACCGGGAGGTGTCTGGAGCAGGAGGCATCGGTCCCCCCTCTGACAAAGCACAAAAGGGAGAAAAATGGTTGGGTTTTTGTTTTTGCTTTTTTATTCTTGCCTTCCCCGACAGAAAGCAGGAATGAATGGGGATGGACTCGGGAAGCAGCCGTCTGCCCAAAGCTTTTACCTCTAAATCGCTCCATCGCTGCCCCATCTGTGTTGATCATCTCACCGCAGTCTGTAATTTTGGCCAATTATGGCCAATTACCTGATGGAGGGACTCAACAAAAGGAAGCGCTTGTTTTTCTGCTGAGCACCAGGGAAGCAGGGGGGGCTGCTTCCAATTCCCCCCAAGCCACCGGCACAAAGATTTGGGGCACATTGGCAGCAATGCCTTCCCCTTTGGCTTTTCCTTTTGCTGGTGGCAACTTTGCATCATTTTAATGCTGGAGGAGAGCGGGAGGGGAAGTGTTTTACCAGTGCCAGTGGGGGACACCATTGGATAATAGTGGGGCTTGGGGCTGGAAGCAGGTCTGTGCCCTCTGAATAGGGCCTTGCATTCATCTGGAAGAGTGGGGTTTGGGAGGAAACAGAGCAATCATTGGGGCTGACTGAGCTCTGGGCACAGTGCTTGTTCCCCACGTGGTGAGACAGACCCTAACCCTAATGAGAGCATTCCTGGGGAACACAGGGTTCAGCATCCCTGAGCAGCCCCATTTCATCTGATTTCAGCCCAAAGCTCACGCACCGCAGAAAAACCCAATCAACCCAAATCGAATGAATGAAAGCGCATCGCAGCAGCACCTGCTGCCCTTCCTCCTCCTCCTCTCCTCCCTGGTTATTGATGTCAGAGCCAGACCCAGCCGCTATCTGAACCACAGGCTGTATTTTCACCCAAATCCCTCCTTTTCACCCCAACGCTGTCCCTAATGAGGATAATTTGACTTGGATACTGGCGTACCCCAGAGCTGTGGGGCTCACAGCAACGTTTTGGAGGATGCTGTATGCTTCCATCCCCCCAGTACCAGGCAGGTGCTCTGCTTCAGATGGGCTGATTGCATTTTCAGGGGCATCGATATGCAGTGCCACCCCTCATCCTGGCGCTCGCATCCTGCCTGCCCCATAGCATCTTCCAGTTGGCCATCCAGTAATTCTCCCAGGCTCTGCACTCCAGCTCTCCCGGGGACACTGGGACACTTCCTTCAGGGGCATTGTGGGGATATTGGGGTTTTGCAGTGGTTTTTTGGGGGGTTTGTCCTCTCCTGGGAGCATCCTGCCAATCCTCTGACTCATGCCGCCAGCCAGTTTTAATGAGACTCGGCAAAGATTAAGCCTTAATTCTGGCTCCTTATCAGCTTTCCCTCCAGCAAATGACAAGCAGCTCCACGGGGCTCTGTGTCACTGAGCTCGAAGGTGACCGTGACACCGTGCAGAGTCCCCAGTGCTTCTATCGCAGGATGCCCCCACCTTGGTGGAAAACATGAGCCCTGAGCCCTGCCCACAAAAGCAAACCCACCCTCAAATCCCCCCCAGAATGCCCCAACATGCTGGTGAGGCACAGGTCACAAAGCCACCACCGAGGTCTTTGCCTGTGATGGGCTAAGCTGGGCATGTGGTTCCTGGATACCCATCAGAATGGTGGCAGAAGATTGGAAATCATGGTTTTAGAAGGAAATGAGGATTTCTGGTCTGCTGGTGGAGCTTGAAGAAGGTTTTAGACATGTTGCCCGTTTCCTTGCCCAGGACATGGCTTGCATAAAGGCACCAAGGTGCCACCAAGGGCAACTCTATCTTTGCTGTCCCCGTGTCCTCAGGCTCACTGCTGGCACACAGACATCCTGCCTGGGGACAGCCTGAGACGTGCCACCTCACCACGTCCACCTGCTAAATTAAGCCCTGCTGGTACTCGTGTCATGAGATAGCCTGGGAAAATGGAGCTGGGGGTGGGAGGGAGGCTCATTCCCATTATGGTGAGGGCTGAGCGTTGCTCCAACCCATTTAGGAGTAGTGCTGGGGCTCACAGGTTTTGTCTCTGGCTGCAGCCCTGCTGTTGTCACCATGAGGGCCGTGCTCTGGGACCTGCTGCTGCTCTGCCTCTTTGCCCGTGCAAGGAGTGACTGTCGAGGGGATTGCCTGCGCTGCGACCGCCACTTCTACCGGGATGGCTTCGACCTCCTCGTGAGTGCCCCTGCACCCAGTGTGGGGTTTGGGGTAATGTGGTGGTAGCTGTGGGGTGGTGAGGAGCCTCGAGGGTGCTGCTGTCCTTGTCTCTTCTCCTTGGGCGCATGGAGGGGATGGACGCATGCGGCCATGGTTGTCATTGTACACCATCAGAGTCTACCAAATTGTCCCCAGATTGGCTTGGGGAGCTGCTGGGAGAGATGGCGACAAGGCTCTGATGGCTATGGGATGGAGCTGACATCACTGGGGAGGGTCCAGGACCTGCAACATGCCCTCTTGGCATCCCCATTGCACGCCCCAGCAGCAAAAGGCCACCCAAAACCTGCGAGCCCCATCAGGACCAACGCCGTGTCCCACTGGGGCTGCAGATGGATGGAGAGATGAAATATTTGGGGCGGGCAGTGATCTGCAGGGCTGCTGAGCCCATGGGAGACGTGGTGACTGAGAAAATTTCACACTGCAAAGGGATGAATCAGCCCGTTCCTGCCTGTAATGCTTTCCTTTCCCCTCCGCTGAGCTGTGGCCGGACTCTGGCCAGGAGCATTTCTTTCCTTCCCATTCCCCTCCACCCACAGGGAAGCACTGACCGCCTATTCGTTAGCAACGCTGCAGCGATAAATTTGGCTTACTGTGACAGGGGAAGCCCCTGGGACTGGGAAATGTCCTAGAACTAGTGGGGATCAGACATTCGGTGGGGATGTCACAGCTGACCCAGTATCAGGCCGCTGCTGTCCCAGTGGGGGCAAGATTTGGGGTGCATCACCCTGCGTTTGGCCCTAAAATTTGAAAGCATCAAATGGAAATGTCCAAGTAGTTTCCCAAGGGCTGCAGGGCTGTGACTTCAGGGTAGGAAGAGGAGAACCCCCGAAGTGACTGGCGTGCCTGCACCATTCAGGAACCAGCTCTTCAAAATGTGGATGATCAGCCTATGTCCTGGTCCCCAGAGCCATTGGGGGGGCAGTGCCAGCCCAGGGTGACACCATTAATGCCAAGTGAAGCTTGGAAAGAGCCTCACTAGCTTCTTTTGTCATTGAACGTGGAGGAGCATTGGGCAGCATTTGCCAAGGATGCCCCAAACAACATGAGTTGGCCACATCAGAAGATGTTTCCTTATGAATTAAGGCAACGGGGCGATGGCTGAGGACACTGGGATGCTAGTGGGGCTGTGTTGTGAATGGATGGCAGGACTGCTGATGGCTTTCAAGACCTGAGTCACCTGGGGACAGTTCTTTTTTCTTTTTGTCTGAAGAGCCTGGCTGACATGGACATTGTGAATTGCTGCACAGTTAGATGCTTGAGCTGCAGCTCTCAGATCCCGTGTTGGGATTTGCAGGATCTCTCACCCATGGAAATCAATGAACCCATGGCAAAGAGTGGTTCTGCCAATGATCTGCCTTGCAGATGGCCTGTTCTGGAGGCTGTGAGATGTAAACCAGCATGTTTCAGCCATAGGATTCCCCACGTTGGCATCAAGAGATTCAAAGAACCCATCATGAAGAAAACTCTGACACGGAACCACTGCAGGAGAAGGGAAGAGAAGCCTTCCCTCCTTGGATCTCCAGCTTCTTGGGATATTTATTGAGTTTGGCTCTCCAAAGACCTTCTCCTGGATGGTTTCCCCTGGGTTGTTTGCCCAGTTGGCTCTTGGAAAGGGATGGGATGTGGGTACTGAGGAAATGACATGGTCAGGTCACTTTTGGTGGCCTTTGAAAGGATGTGGTGACCCTAGGGACCGAGGGAAGGGCAAACTCATTCTTAACATCTGAGAAGCCAGGGCTGGTTGGCCTCACAGCAATCCTGGGGCGGATGGCAGAGAACAATGTCATCTTTGAGAGCTTTTCCAAACACACAAGAAGGTCAGTGGGAGCAGCCAGTATGGATTTACGAAGGGGAAATCATGCTTCACCAACCTGATCACTCTCTGCAGTGAGATGACTGGCTTCTCCTGACTTCTATCCTATGACAGCTTAGCACTGGTGAGACCTCTTTTCATCAGTAAAGGGGCTGGAATGGACTGGAGTGAGAGTACAGGAAACCAGAACAGGAGAGAACCTGGTTTTGCTGTGAAGATGGCCACATGCTGAGTGATTGTGGTCTCCATCCTTGGAGATAACCCAACTCCAATCTGTCTGGGGTGCCCATGCTGGAAAAGGTCTCCCAAGGTCCCTTCCCACATCCACCATCCCATGGCACACTTGGGGAATTTGGGGCTCATGATGGCTGAAGAACCCCGCAGCACCCAGCAGAGAAAGGTGGGACAGGGGTGTGGATGGCAGTGGGGAAGGAGTGCGAGAGGCGATGCAGGTTCAGGTGCAATTCCCCAGCATCTCCATCACTTCTGGGAGCCTGAGGATGGTTGAAACCCTGAATTTGGGACAAAATGGTGACTGGTAAGAATTGATGTGCTCCCAGTGCCTTTCCATGGTGTCTTCCAGCATGTTGGTTGGGCTAGAGATGGAGAGAAGCCCAATGATCCAATGGGTGATAGATTAAATTGAAAGAGTAAAGGTTTAGATGAGGTACAAGGAATAAATTCTTCACGATGAAGGTGGTGAGGCACTGGAACAGGCCGTGGGTGCTCCATCCCTGGCAATGACTGAGGCCAGGCCGGATGGGGTTTTGGGCACCTGATCTTTGGCAGGAGTTCCTACGGCAGAGGTTGGGACTGGGTGGAACCTCAAAATCCCTTCCCACTTGAACCACTCTGGGATTCTATGATCTGAAAACAGTCCCCCCGTCTCCCCTCACAGGTCTGCATCCTGGAGTGCGAAGGCGAAGCCGTCCCGCGGGCCACCTGGGAGATGTGTGCCACCAGCATCCGATCTGCGCCGCGTCCAGGTGCCGTCGGTGCCGGCGTCCTCGGTGCCATGGAGCCGGCCGAGGCGGTGGCGAGCCCGCTGCAGGTAAGCGAGCTGCTGCGGCGCCGGGACGCCGAAGACGGAGGTGCCGGGATGGCGCCGGGCGCTTTCCCATCGCAGGACGAGGACATTTCCCGGCGGCTCGGAGGTGGCTTCCCACGGGGGACACGCGGCTCGTGGCCGGCGGCCCGTGGGGTGCAGAAGAGATACGGGGGCTTCATCGGGGTGCGCAAATCGGCGCGGAAGTGGAACAACCAGAAGAGGTTTAGCGAGTTCCTGAAGCAGTACCTGGGCATGTCGCCCCGCTCCAGTGAGTACGACATGGCCGGCGACCTCAGCGAGCACAACGAGATCTAGCCGGCCCCGCGGCACCGCGCCATGGACACGCGCGCCATGGCCAAAAAGTCAATCCATTGCCCCAACCCCAAAACCTCCGTTAGGAAGGGTTTCTCCAGGAAGCGATGGCTGCTTGTTGGTTTTCTTTATTATTATTGTTTTGTTTTGTTTTGTTTTTCATTGTACCCTCAAAATACCATAATTTTACCCCCCTCTCAGCTCCTACCCATCCTTTGCCCCTTTTGCTTTTTTTGGTTGGCACGTTTTGCCCAAGAAACACCAATTTTGCTCCGCTGAATGGCGATGCTGGATCTTGGGATGCTCCAGTGCTGTGTTCCCCATTCCTAATGGGTGCACATCAAAAACAGAAGGGAAAAAAATAATGGCTTGGAAACACCAAGCCCCAAGGCTGGGCTGTGAGTTCCTACCTCAGTGACACCCCAGAAATATCCCTTTGCCACAGGTCACATTGGGATGTAAAGCAAAAGGGTTTTGTCCCCAACACCATAAAAGTGTGCAGAATGTTTCAGCCTCCTCCTCCCATTAGAAAAAAACAAAAAAGACCATAAACCAGACCTGTTGCTTCTGTAGATGAGATGACTCTCCCCCAAAGCATTGCATTGGCAAAACCCAGTGGTGAGCTGGGAGCACCCCCCTGGGCCCAGGAAACGGTGCTGGGATGCTCTGAGCCCCCACCCCACATCCAACCACACCCTGTAACATTGAAATTAAGTAGAATTTTTTACTTCCCTCCTCCTTTATTATTATTTTTGCCTTTTTTTTTTTTTTTTTTTTTTTTTTTTTTTTTTTTGCTGCAAAGCATCTCCTTAAAACCAGGGGATTCCTTTCCAGCCCCGCAGCCCGCAGGGCAGAGCATCCTGGGGCAAAGCATCCTGGGACAAAGCATCCCGGCCCCTCTCTTGCACTGCTCTCAGCTGCAATTATTATTATTTTTTTTTATTATTATTATTATTTTTATTTTTTCTGTTTTGTTTTGTTTTTGTTTTTGTTTTTGTAGCGTTCCGGCACCGCGTCCCGGCACCTTCCGCCAGGCACAGGCAAAATTAAACCCTGCTCCTGTCCACCCAAGCAGCCTCCAACCTCTCTCTGACGGACCCCAAAGCGCTTCAGACTCGCACGCGTCCCGAAATCATTTTTCTCCCTTCTCGAGAGCAGCCAACCGGGTGCAATTTAAGCCAGGACGGGAAAGGATGAGGCCACCGCCGGAGCCAGGAGTCGTGGGGTGGGGAGTGGGGCAGAGGACTGTGGGGATTGGGGGGGGGGGTCCACCCCTCAAAAAGCAAAAAAAAAACCAACAAAAAAAGGGATTTTGGCAAAATTTGCGCCCTGCTCAGCCATTGGGAACGCCCAACGTGGGAAAATAGTGATTTAACAAGTTTTGTTTTACTCCCCCTCCCAAATGGCTTTCGGGCATCCCCTCCCAGCATCGCATGCCCCCCCCCTGGGGCTCCCCACAGGATTTACCCCCAGCATTTGGGGCTTGCATCCCACCACGGCTCGGTTCCCAAAAAAAAAGGGACCAAAGCATGACCCAGCACCCAGGGCTGGGCAGAAAGCACCTGGAAATGGTGTTGGTTGGTTGTTTTTCTGTTTTGTTTTGATTTCTTTTCTTTTCATTTAAAACGATTTTTATTTTGTAATTACTATTTTTTGAGTGCTTTCCTTGAGGTTTTCTATGGACTCCGGGGTTGACTTCTTTGCTCAGCATCGCAGCGTGTGTTTTCGTCGCGTTCCCCCCGGCATGTATTGTGTCCCCGCTGCCGTCCCACCACCGGAGCCCTGGTCTCACCCTTTGTACAAAATAATAATGGTAATAATAATAATAATAATAATAATAATAAATACCCCACAAAAAGGAAACAAAATGAACAAACAGAAGCCCACACAACAACACCAACAACAACAACAAAAACACAGGAAAAAAAAACCAACAACGAAAAACCAACTCAACCTTCTCCCTGTTCTTTTTAATTGTTTCATACAAAGGTTTCTCCATTAAACTTGTACATAGCAAAAGGATTAATAAATTAGTTTACTGTTTCTACGATATCAGTGCGACTGGCGACCGTCACTTGGGACAACGCTTACCCTGCTGCCATCCCTGAGGCTCAGCTGGCAAAAAAACCCAGAGTTTTTTAGGGGAAAAAATGAGATTTTTTTGTGGCAAATGTGCATGAATCTCAGCTGGGCTCTCCCCTTGCCTGGGCTGCAGCAGCGTGGCATGAGAGTCACCCCATTGCTTACATACCTGGCAGCCCTTCACTCAAAAAGGAATGGACTGGAGGTGTTAATTGGGGGAATAAAAGTGCGTTCCAGAACTTCAGACAGAGAGGGGATGCGCCCAAAGGAGTTGGAAATCATCAGTGGGGACACACCAAAGCCTGGGCTGAGACGGCGACAGCTCACTGCAGTGACGTCCCCACCATGCAATACAGGAAGGGATCTTGGGGCTTTCTTGAATGCCCCCAGGAGCAGATTGCAGGCTGCATTTGTCCTCTGCAGGTGCCACACGGTGCCAGCTTCCATTTTGGTCACTGCAAGGCTTCAGCTTCACCCCACAGCTTCCCAATGGAAATGTGGGGCTGGGACCAGGGGTGCCCAGGCCCCTTGATGGGACTGGTTCTTGTCAGCTCTCCTCCCATCCTTTCCTCCTTTTCCATCACCTTGTGCAAAAATATGGAATTATTCATAGAATCACAGAATGGCCTGGGTTGCAAAGGCCCACAGTGCTCATCCAGTTCCAACCCCCTGCTGTGTGCAGGTCACCAACCAGCAGACCAGGCTGCCCAGAGCCACATCCAGCCTGGCCTTGAATGCCTGCAGGGATGGGGCATCCACAGCCTCCTTGGGCAACCTGTTCCAGTGCCTCACCACCCTCTGGGGGAAAAACTTCCTCCTAAGATCCAACCTAAACCTCCCCTGTCTCAGTTTAAAACCATTCCCCTTGTCCTATCATTATCCACCCTCACAAATAGGATTCAGGCTTTGTGCACTGTGCATGTTCAGGCGTTCTGCACCAGCAGGCAGCTTCTGAGCTGGGCATTCCCATGGTGAGGGCTCTGCACAGGACATGGGTCAGAAACCCACCGGGTTCTGCATGCACCCATCTCTCCTTGCAGATTTCAGGTTGAAAACTTGAAGGACCGGGCTTTTTGAGGAGGAAAACCAACAGAAGAGGAAGGATGCACCACCGGTGGGCAGACACTGCTACCTAGTGGTGCCACAAGCCGTTGTGCCACAGGGATGGAACCGTGCAGGGCACCGGACCCACAGCGCAAAGACCAGGCAGAGCCGGCGAGCTATCAGGCAACTTTTCTTTATTTCTTATAAAATATATTTCATATCGCTACTGTAAAAATTACATTTCACATTTGCGTTCTTTTAAAATTTTTCTTTTTTTTTTTTCTTTTCATATTTTCTGGTTTTTGGGTTTTTTTTTTTTTTTTTTTTTTTTACAATAAAAATAATACTTGGAAGACAGCTGAGAAAAGCTCCAAGACAGAAGATAACATCCTCCCAGCCCAAGCGGGCAGCAGGGTCCTGTGGGAGCACAGGGATGAGCATCCCTGAGCCCTTCCCCACGCCACCACCCTGTCACCACTCCCAGCATCACCCGATGGCAGCAGGGCACGGTGACAGCGCAGGGTCACCCTGCACTCAGTTTGGGTGCCAGCTGGGCTGGAAAAGGAGAGCAGCCTCCAATTAGTGCCCAATTAAAAGGTTCCTATTTACATACATACATACACACGGCAGACAGCTGGAGTGGGAGATGTCTCCAAGCTGAGCTTGTAGTCAGGGGTTACCCACGGTGGGTGGGATGGAGTTTGGTGAGACCAAGGCTGGAAGTGAGTGAAGAAATAACGAAGAGATGGGAAAGGGAAAAAAAACAAGAAATGGGACACCAGCCAATCTGACAAACCACAGAATCATAGGCTGGCCTGGGTTGCAAAGGCCCACAATGCTCATCCAGTTCCAACCCCCTGCTATGTGCAGGGTCGCCAACCAGCAGCCCAGGCTGCCCAGAGCCACATCCAGCCTGGCCTTGAAAAAATGACACGACGCCTGCTGTCACTGCAGCAGAAATACAAGTTTTTTTCCTTTTAAAAGTGTAAAAAAACTCCAAAATACTCCCAAATTGAAATAAAGGAAAGCCAGGAGCTAAAGGACAATTTTGTCCCATTAAATCCGTACCGCAAAAGCCTGCAGAAAATAAAGCTGTGTGCAACCCTGGGTGAACACCACCAGCACAGAACAGCCCTGTGCAGGGTGACCCTGGGGCTGTAAGTGCTATTGGCTGCAGAGGGAGGCACTGCTCCCCAACATCGCAGGTGTCCCACCATGCCCTCAATTCAGTGGGCAATCAGCCACTCATTCCAGAGCCATTCCTATCTTTTTCTTCCTATTTTTAATATAAAAATCACCTTTAACAGTAAGCAGAAAGTTATTCTCATTTCCATTTGCAGAAATTCAAGTTCCCATCAGTGAAAAAATATGATTGACTACAGGAGGGGGAGGCAGTGTGGATTGTCAGACGCTACACCCTGGTTTGGGGGACAAAGCCCCGGGGGGGTGACACCCCCACATGGCTTGTGTGACATTTCCTGAGCGATGGGGACCCAAACGGGGTCACTCTGTTTGGGGCAGAAAGGACAAGAAAAGCAGGAAGGGAAAACTTCTGGGTCTGAGTCGTGGGAGCAAAGGCACAAGGTCTGAGGGAACCACAACTAATCTTTTTTGTTTAATTATTAATCTCCATAGTCTGAGCGACCCGCGCCTTCAGCATCACAGAAACCCGTCTGTGCTGCTGCAGGGACCAGCAGCAAGCTTGGGTGCTGCCAGCTCTGCAATCCAAATGGTAGCAAATGCCCCGGGGGCTCTTCTTTTTTCTTTTCTTTTTTTTTTTTGTCCCTAAATAAAAGTCAAGAATAAATTCCTACTTTTGAGCAGTGCAATAACCCCAGCACGCAACCCGCTGCTACCAGGATGCAGAGCATGAACCTGCAGAGCTGTTCCTGCAATAGACAGCTGTGGGGATGGCTGATGGCAGTGGGAGAGGAAAGGGCTTTCCCAGCATGGCAGCCCCAGCAGGGATGTGATCCTGAGCCAGCTCCTCTCCAGGAAAAAAACACGGGCTTCGAATCAGACCTGCATGGACACACTTGGGATGCATCCTGGGGGAGTTTTGCTCCTGCTTCCTGATTCTGAATCTGCCCATTTGGTACCAAAGATCAAGCTCTGGAACGAGATACTGTTTAGATATACAAAATTACAAAAAGAGGTTGACAAGCACCAGTATTACACGTATGCATCTATGCCAGAGCACCAACAGGGCGTGCGTCCATCCAGCAGCAAAACGATGCTCTCCCAGCCACAGAATTTGCTTTTTGAAGGGAGTTTTTGTCACACCGCACGGTCCTGAACATCAGCCCAGGCTCGAGCCTTGTGCAGGGATCACACTTGGTTGTGCCTTATGGGCTGTGATTAGCAAAAAAAAGAGGAAAAAATATCCAGGACACAGACTTGCCTGCTGCCAATGGGGTGCAAAAGCAAATTTTAAGATCGTTTACCAAACTGGGGCCACGCTGTGATGCTGAGAAAAAGCTCTTCCCAGTCCTCCCAGCTTGCCAGCTGCCTTTGCTGGTGAAATCAGGAAGATTTCTTTGTTTAAAAACGAACAAACAAGCATTTGCTCTCAGCCTGCTTTTGAAAGACACAGCGAGGGCCACGACATAGTTTTTCACGGAACTATGCAGATGTACAAAGCCTAAAAGGACAAGGAATACCTGCTTTTGCTTTAAAAGCTCTCAAAGCTTTCCTGACTAAAGAGGCTTTTCCCCCAGATGCCTCCAAAACGGACAAACTGGAAGCAGAGACACGTGCAGGCTCCAGCTGCAGAGTGAGCAAAGAGCACATCCATGAGGCAATGAGGAGAGCCACCCTAAAAACCAGCCCTGCCTCGTGCGTTTAAAGCTGCAATAGTTCTTGATGCTTCAGGACACGAGCCATTTGCACTTCATAGACAGTGAAAGGACAGGGGAAGCTGCCTC